TGGAATGCTGTTAAAATAAGCCAAGGAGAATTCGCCAGAAAGCATGACTGCACACATTTCTAATTCTGTGAAGAATGGGGTGCTTGTGGGGAAAAGACTAGAGAATGATACTAGTTGTTTTAGAGTGTGACACTGGGAATTGGGGATTTTCATCTATTTTCCCTAAAATGTTGCTTTATTGTTGTTAAAGTTTAATAGTAACAAGTTTTTAATAAAAACAAATATTCGAAACTCTACTCATTATATGTCAATATGCCATTAAATTGCCTCTGTCCAAAAAGAAGCCATTTTGGATGTGAGGGCGATCTGGTTGCGACATCTGTCACCCCATTGATCGCCAGGGTTGATTTGGCTGATCTGGCTGGCTAGGCGGGTGTCCCCCTCCTCCCTCACCGATCCATGTGCGTCCCTCCCGAAGCTGCGCGCTCAGTCGAAGAGGATGACTTTCCCCCAAGAGGAGAGGACCGGTCTTCGTCAAGGGTATACGAGTAGCTGCGCTCCCCTGCTAGAACCTCCAAACAAGCTCAAAAAGAAGCCATTTCAATAGCTAATGCCCTTATTCTTCCTAAAGACAAATAATGTCTATTTTGTCAAGTAAGTTAATATCAAAATTATTTATCAGATTTTAGCTTTTGCTATTCAACAAAATTACATGTTTCTGATATCATTAAAGCAAAGAAAATTTCAAACAAGAAATGGGCACATGAAAATAAGAAATGTTCATTAAATAAAGCAACTTAAATCATCAAATTTCCTCCAATGGTTGCTTTTATTAAAATCTGACTATATTTGTTTTATTTAATGTTTGAGTGAAGCTCTTTTAGAGTTCTTATTTTAGAATAGATCTTGGGGAAGGAAAATTATGCTTAGCTTCATTGTACACCATTATTTATTTGATCAGTAAATATTAGGAGTGAATAGTATTTTTGGATTTTTTGAGGTTTTAATTTAAAATAGACACTGGGGAAGGAAAACTGATGTGTTTGGCTTTATCATGAATCATTACCTATTTGACCAGTAAATACAGGGAGAAAATGGAATTCTGACTAAGCAATATTGGGGGAAATTAACCATCACAGAAAGACCGAGAATCTATATAATTCTAAGAGTGGAAATAAAAAAATAAGAGGAGGAAAGAAATGCTAGTTTTAACTGACCTTTGGAATTTGGAGCCCACTGAACTTCATTGGTTGGCGTCTCTGTGGTCCTATATGGATCCTAAATGGACTGTTTCCTTTGTCTCAGCCCCATCCATACTCTGTGAAAGCAGCATTTCTTTGAGCTGTGACACACAGAATTGGGGTAAGAAGCCAACACAGGGGTCCTCTTCACAGCTGCTCTTCGCCCAATTCCCCGGCATTGGGAAAGACCCCACATCCCACCTCAGTGCCCCTCCCCAGCCTGAACCTGCTATGCTTCTATGCATAGGACAGAAACCAGTCTTCCTCCCTTTTCTTTCTGATCAACTCCACACGTGCCCAGTGAAGATTAAAAAACTCCCCAATGCCATTTCATTGTGTCAAATTCTGTGAGATGCCCATAACTTTCTTTGTTTATTGTTTTGTTTTGTTTTAAATATGTATCACTTTTTAAAGGTGACCTTCTGATGCTGTATGCCATTTCATCAGTTTGGCAGAAGGACTTGGTAAACGGCACCTGGTTCCTTGGTGAGAAAGAGTCACCTCACCCCCTACCCCCTATGAAGCAATTTAGCAAAATAGTCGAGGACCAGGCTACCCTACCTTGGAATTATCAACAAAGGACAGGATTCATACTGAGGACGTTATAAAATGTGTGTCACATAAAGAAGTATGTCAGTAGCTACCTTCTCTCCACATAGGCTCAGACCCAGCAATTTGCAGCCTTTGTGCTCAGCGCCTGGGGAGGCAGGAGAGATGGTGCTAGACTTTTCAGTTCGCTGTAAAATATCACACGATTGCATGGTCACTGAAGTAGCAATGAGCACGGTACTTCATTTGACCTGAATTTTCATTATAGCATCTATCATTATAGATTTCAGTGATGCTTTAGAAATGCTCTTTACCAAAGGTATAGATTAGTTTATTTAATGAACCGGCTAGATTGCATGGCCTGGGGCAATGATCTGTCCAAAGGGCTTGCCTTTCATCTCAAGGCAACGTCTACCCTGGGAAAAAAGAGTTGATTGCCACAGTTTCTTCTCCCTCAATAGCTGCCTTTGAACTTGACTTACGAAGTCCTGGAGACCTTGTTTGTGGTGGAAATGAGGCGCGGGCTTGGTTGACCCTCTTGATTCTCCAGGCCTAGTAGGGATGGCACTCCTAACTCTGGTTGTCACTCTGTCTACATTGCAAGTGAGCTGGGTGGACCCTCATGAGCTGCTCTTTGCTAGCGGTTCTTTGGATCTAGTAGACATGGCTTATCACAGCAGATGGCTCCCCTCCTTTCATTTCTTTTCCTTCCCAGATATCTCTTGCGTTTTCCACAGCATGTTTCCCAATCATTTTTGAACACTTTAGCTTGCGAATGTTGGACATCCCTAGCTCTAAATTCCACTTTAAATGTGGTTCATATTTTACTTTTCTCCAACAAAATGGAATATTTAGAAACCACCCTGTCTAATTGCTATCATATTTCACATCTTATTCTACAAAACAATTATCCCATTTTATCTGAATGTATATATAACATGTAGCTTTATGAAAGAACCTATTACAGAAGGTTTTTTAAATAGTTCTTCCTAAAGAAATGGAAAGAGGAGGATCATAGGCATAAAAGCAAAACAAAAATGACAATAAATAAATACCTATCATGATAACCTTAAATGTAAATGGATTAAATGTTTCAGTCAAAAGACATTGGTGACTGAATAGATTAAAAAATAAAAAAAAACATGACCAATATATGCTTTCTACAAGAGGCCCACCTCAAAACAAAAGATGCACACAGACTGAGAGTGAAGAGAAGGAAAAGTATATTCCCAAGTAAATGGGAAGGAAAAAAAAGGGAGGGTAGCAATACTCATATCAAGATTGACTTCAAAAAAGGGCCATAACAAGAGACAAAGAAGGCCATTAAGAATACTAAAGGGAAGGATTCAAAAAGAAAATATAACCCTTGTAAGCATATATGTACCCAATATAGGAGCACCCAAGTTCTTAAAAAACTCTTGATGGACTTTAAGGGAGAGATTGACAGAAATACAGTCATAGTAGGAACTTTAACACGCAGTGACATCACTGGGTAGATCTTTCAGATAAAAAATTAACAAGGAAACAGTTGATGGGAGAGTCTAACCAATATTTACAAAACATTTCCCCAAAGCAACAGAATATACATTTTTCTCAAGTGCGCATGGAACAGTCTCAAAAAGAGAACAGATGTTAGGGCACAAAACAAGTCCATACAAATTCAAGAAGACTGATATAATAGCCAGCATCTTCTCGGATCACAATGGCATGGAGTTAGAAATCAACTATGATAAAAAAAAAAAAAAAAAAAACCCTCAAATATATAGAGATTAAGTAGCATGTTATTAAACAATAAACAAACAATGAGAACAAACAAGAAATTTAAAACTCCCTGGAAACAAGTGAAAATGAATACACAGCATCCAAACCTATGGGACACAGTGAAAGCAGTCCCCAGAGGAAGATTCATAGCACTGCAGGCCTACATCAAGAAACAAGAAAAAGGAAAATAAATGATCTCACCTTACAACTACTACCCTGTTTCCCCAAAAATAAGACAGTGTCTTATATTAATTTTTGCTCCCAAAGATGGGCTAAGTCTTATTTTCAGGGGATGTCTTATTTTTCCATGAAGAAGAATACAGTACACATTTATTGTTAAATAAAAATAAAGCAAATTTATTACCTATATACGGTACGGTAGTACGGTAGTTGTCCACACAAACCAGACAAACTGTGAATCCTACAGTATCAAGAATTTACTCATTTATTCAATGCCAATCATGTCATCATCTTCTGGAACATCATCATCACAATCCAATTCCTGAATCTCCTGGTGAATTTCTTGTGATTCCATTTCTTTCAGAATCAGTAGACCAAATCTCTCATGTTTAGCAATAGCACTGTCTTTAAATGAGTACTTCTTGTCACGGTAGCCTGCTCGCAGTGCATTTGCGATGCAACTGTCAATGATTTTCTCCCATGAATTCTTCAACCAAGTCACAACTTCTTGCATTTTAGGTTTCACAAAGTTTCCACACTGATTTCTCTCCATTCTATTTTGAATGTAGTCATTAATTTCCATGCACAAATTGTCTTTGAATGGCTTGTTTATTGCAATATCAAGAGTCTGAAGATAGGCCGTCATTCCTGCGGGAATCATTATCTGATCTATTTTTCTTTTGTGAAGTATTTTTCTTTCGTAAATTAATTTTCATTCTGAGACAGAGCCTAGGGGGGCCTTATTTTCAAGGGGATGCCTTATATTTCGCTCAGAAGGAAACCTGTAAGTAGGTCTTATTTTCAGAGGATGTTTTATTTTCAGGGAAACATGGTAGTAAATGACTTCAAAAGAAAACAGCAAGAAAAGCCTAGAGGAAGTAGAAGGAGGGAAATAATAAAGATCAGAGTGGAAATAAACAACATAGAGACTAAAAAAAAGTACAAAAGATCAATAAATCCAAGAAATGGTTCTTTGAAAAAATAAACAAGATTGATGACTCCCTAGCCAGACTCAACAAGAAATAAAGAGAGAGGACCGAAATAAGTAAAGTTAGAAATGAAATAGATGCTATAACAACGGACACCTGTATTTGTGCTTTTATACCTAACAAATGAGCTCATATTGGAGAGTCAGATTCTAATGTCCAGAAAGCATAGGCTACTTTTTATTTCTTTTCACAAGTGATTTTCTAATAAATACCTGTTTCCAAATGTTAAATAACCAAAACGTCTACTGAAGTTTTCTGCCCGGCCATTCTCTCACTAATTTCCTCCTTGGACAGCATGCTGAGGCCCAAGCCGATCTCCCCATGTCTGTGTTCTGTGCAGGTTGTTCGATTACCACGGCCGCGTGCCTCCTCCTCCCCGCGCCGTCATCCCACTGAAACGCCCCAGGGTGGCAGTCTCCACGACTCGTCGGGGAAAAGGGGTCTTTTCCATGAAAGGGGGGTCGAGATCTGCTGTCAGCGGGTCCTCTTCCTCAGGCTCGAAATGTAAGTAGCCTCCTTCTTCGCCTTTTAAAGGGGCGGGGGTAGATACAATGCCTGAAGCCTGTGTCAGCAGGTAACCACACCAACACGTTCTGCTGTGCACTAAGTACTTAAGAAAAACTGGTGAGAAATGGGTCACTTTCCAGCACAAACACGCTGTGGCTGACCAAACCTAGGAACACTTTGAAAACTTTGATCTGAGCAAATAACTAGCTGTTGGCCCTCTGAGCTTGTGGCGTTAGAGTCCTGAAGCAGAACATGTTGCTTTCAGTGAATGAACAATTTCCCTTCTGAATAGAGAACACACACTACCTTTCCAGAGGAACATTATGCAAAATCCATGCGTGTGAGTAACTGAAAATGCATTAAGATCATGAAGACGGGCAAACTGCATAGTAGAGATGTAAAAGTGTAACTTGCCATCCTACTGTAAATCATAGAATTACTAGAGGCCCGATGCACAAAATGCGTACAAGAGCAGGCCTTCCTTCCCCCTACTGCCAGCATCTGCTTCCCTCTGGCATCGGGGCCGGGCTTCCCTCACAGCCCTGGCTTCATCAGGAAGGTCGTCTGGAAGGACGTCCTGTCTAATTAGCATATTATGCTTTTATTATTATAGATGTGTCTGCAGACACACTTAATGTCATAAAAATAAAATATATATATAATTTTACATTGCTGAAACAAAGAGACACAAATTTTCTAACTAAACACACTTCTAAATTTTTACACAGACTCATTCAGGGAAAACTCTAATATATTATTGGAATACTATTTCTAAGGAAAAGAGTGTGAAGTTTTCTGCATTCTTTGAGATTACATTCTAGCAGAGAAGAAACAGACAACAAGTAAACCAATAAAAATGTGAGGTAATACAAGGCCAGTTGTCTCTATGTTGAGAAATCGAATAGAATAGAGCAACAGAAAGGTTGGGAGAACTCTGTCATATGGTAGTCTCTGACAACCTCTTGGACGAGATGACGTGAGCAGAGACCTCAAGAAAGTGCATGAGTGCCCAGCTGTCATGGCTCCGTAGCTGAGTTGTTGACCTAAGAACCAGGAGGTCATAGTTTGATTTCCAGTCAGGGCACATGCCTGGTGTTGTAGGCTCAATCCCTAGTAGGGGCTGTGCAGGAGGCAGCTGATCAATGATTCTCTCCCATCATTGATGTTTCCATCTCTCTCTCCTTCTCCCTTCCTCTCTGAAATCAATAAAAACATATTTTTTAAAAAAAGAAAAGAAAAGAAAGTGCATGAGTATGAGAGTGCTCCGAAGTTGTCGGGGCAGGGTGTTCTGGGCAGAGAGAACAGTGAGCACAGACAAGTTCCATCAGCATAGCTGGGGACCAGGGAGGAAGCCAGGGAGGTGCAGAGCTCGGTGGGAAGGGGAGGGGAACAATAAGGAAGAGGAGAGGGTGGCTGGTAACAAGCACAGGAGGTAGGGGAAGCGAAAGTCAGTGCAGCTTGGGGGCCCTCAGAGGGACTTTGTGGTCATTTGGCATCCCAGCCCTTTAAGATGAGTCAGGCAAGTACTGTTTTCCCAATGTACCGATGAGGAGACACCGGGAGGTCACGTGGCTGGTAGGAGAGAGCCGGGCCTCTACTGTCCTCGTGCTTCCCATGCTGTTGCTGCACCTGCCACAGGACCCTGCCCCAGCCTTCCGGACGACCAGCGTTGCTAAGACCATGGAATCACAGAAGTACTTGGTCTTTACGTGAAGATGTACAAAAAGGCAGCTCAGGGAGAAGGACCCACTGATGCTCTGGTAACTGAGAAAAGTTGGGTTTGCTCAGAATGTGGCGAGAATGACCTAGCTAATATCACCCAAATAGTAAGAGAAATAGATTTCCAGTTCCCTGTGCGTGACCCTGCCCATTTGTCTATCTGTCCTGTGGTAGCTGAACATGAGTTCCCTTTCTGAGTCTTAGTAATAAAATAAAATGACTTTCAGCAGCAAAGCCTAACCAGAGTGTTATATACTCTCAGATGATTGTCAAAAGCAAAGCAAAGATCTTGAATTCGGTTTTTCTGTGGGAAATTAAATTGCCTGCGAGGTTTACAGAAGACTTTTTTCTGCCATGGTAATATTAACTTCAAACAGAAATATCAGGCAACTGTGGATTCTTTGCCCTGTGGTCGTTTTTAAGACAAAGTTTATCAATGACAACGTCATTGGCCTATTGGCCACAGCAATTCTTCATCCAGTTCTTCATCGGTGAGAGTGCTCTGGGCTTCGCAGATCATGCAGCATTCCTGACCCCACCCGGCAAGGCCAACCCTGGTCCTGAGGCAGTGCTTCCTGCAGGGACGGCCTCCTTCCTCCATGGCCATCTCCTGCAAGTGCCACTCAACTGTGCAGCCTCAGCCACGAGGTGGCTTAACCACCTGTCCAGCCCAGTGTGCAGAGAAGATGGTGGACTCCAGAAGTTATTTTAATGTAAAATATTAATATCCAAGTGGTTATTTTTCACCTTTGTATTTTTCGATTTCTAGTTTATCTTGGATCATAGAGAGAGAATGGGGATGATGAAAATTTTTTTGAGATATTTATTAAAAATGCTGGTTTCTTTTTTTTTTTTTTTTACAATAAAGCTAAATTTTATTTTATAGTTCTTTTAATATCTTATAATTCTTTAAAAAAAAAAAAAAAAAGAATGTTGGCTTCGTAACGCACAGATTGTCTAAATGGACATACAAGCAGGCCCTGTTTCTGCTCCAGTCTGGGCTGAGGGTGTGAGCCGCGCTGTGGGCTGTTACCCAAAGCCCCCAACACCCCGCTGTGTTGTGGCAAATGGATGTCAACTTCTGAGGGTGATTAAGATCCTCTATCACCGAGCTGATTTTATTTGATTCTTTTATTTATTGAGAGTTTGGTTTATATCCCATGCAGCTTGGAAGTTTTTATGAAATAGTTTATAATAATAATAGGAAAAGGAATAATAATTGGCACTTTTTTAGTGTTTATGATAGCTATAGATTCAAGTACTTACAGATATGAACTAATTTATTCACCATCACTGCCCTGTAAGTGAGGTATTAGTATATCATTCCTACTTTACAGGGTAAAATTTAATATTTCATTTATGATTAGCTAATATATTGGATTATATTTCTTCCATCATGTCAGGTGTATAATTTACTGTTTCCCCTCTTTTCCTTTCCTTGCTTTTGCTTCCTTAATGAATTTTCTTTTAATTCCCATGTCTCCCACAGAAACTACCTTAATTTGGGTATTCCATTAGCCCCCCGTTTTATTAGTGGCTATATTAACATATTAAACTGTTATGAATCAACCTGTATTTACCGGTTAATCTCTTAAAAGCAAACAATACTGCTCTAAGTCCCCTCCGGACTTGGCTTTAGCAGCCTGACATCATCACTGGCTCTGCGCCTTCCCTCTCCTCCTCCCAAAGCTCAGGATTTCCCAGTAGCAGCAAGTTCTAATATTCTGCACCTGCTCTTATCTGCCACCTCCCAGTGTCTGTCACCATCATGGCCTGTTAGGACCAGTAGCTTCAGTTGGCCTCTCTCCGGGTTTTGCACAGAAGGCTAACCTTGCACCTGCACGTCTCAATATCCACCAGACGCTCTGAAATAATCTGGCGTCTTTTGTTTTTAGCAACAATCATGTGGAACTGGCACACCAGAGTGCCTTTGTTGCTCTAAACAATGTAAATAAGTAATCGGTAGAAATATTATAGGTCAGCGATGGACGGAAATGTTTTGTAGAATCTAGTGCAATAATCATTTGAAATTTAGTGTGAATATATTTTTCTCATAATGTGTTCATTTTAATAGAGTTATTAACATAGAAAAACAATTGAGTGATCAATTCCATGTAGATTTCATATAATTTTATTTGTTTTGAGGTTCAGTTCACAGAAATTAACTGTGGATTATTGTTATGTAAGTGAAACACAAATCTAAACAAGATTTATATATAATTCCTAGAAAGCCATATGTACAAGTGTACGTATAGATATATGTGTGTATAAATATATACAGGGTGTGGCAAAAATAGATTTGTAGTTGTTCATATAGAATATAATACAATAATTAATAAATAATAATACAAGAATAAACTGTTTTGTGTACTCACAACTTATGCCTCACCCTATATATAAATACAATCATTATTTGAGAGTATTTTTATAATTAGCCTGGTACCTATGAATAACAATAATTTTCAAATTCAAATCACAATAAAAAATTTGGGTGAAGTGTAAAATATACCATGTTAATATTGCCTTAATCTGAAGGAATATTTCCTGAGCCATATATCCTATCTAATTAAAGAGTAATAGGAAAATTAACCATCACTCTGCGACAAAAATGCCAGTACCCATAGCCACAAGATAGTGGTGCCCAGTCCTCTAAGCCCCACTGTAGTCACCCAAGGAGCCAGCAGCATAAGCGGCCTGGAAGAATGCTGCCCAGAGGCCCTCATGACCCTTTATAAAAAACAAAAACAAATTCATTCCCCACGGAGAGATCCCCCTCACACACACCTGCAGTCTGGGATCTCAGCCTGGAGGGGCATGCAGCCCCAGGGAGCGATGCTCTCCCAGCCCCAGGCCTGGGGTCTCAGCCACTGAGTCATACCAGCCAGGTAGATATTGGGGAATCTTAAATGTTTCTTTTTAAAAAGTATATTTTATTGATTTATTTTAAGAGAGAAGGAAAGAGATATAGAGTTAGAAACATCTATGAGAGAGAAACATCAATCAGCTGCCTCCTGCACACTCCCCAATGGGTATGTGCCCCCAACCAAGGTACATGGCCTTGACCGGAATCGAACCTAAGATCCTTGAGTCTGCAGGCCATTGCTCCATTCACTGAGCCAAACCAGCTAGGGCTGTACAATATGTTAAAGAAAAAACCCTATCTAATAAAGAGGGAATATTCAGGGAGGGCATTTGGAGGTGACCAGGCTGTCAGGGGAGAGCAGTTGGGGATGACTGGGCTGGCAGGTGAGCAGTTAGGCATCGATCAAGCTGGCAGG